ACACACACATCAGTCTAACTATTATTAGTAGAGCAGATATTTATATAGTCGAAGTCAATTAAGAGCGTCTATTTGCAGCGCCTGCACAGCTTTTAGCTGCATTAATAATGCCTGAACTATACTCATTTCATATGCTCATTGATTTAATAAGACTCATAATGCTTGGGTAATAACTACACAGGTCAACAAAACTCGGAATTTATCAAAGCAAAATATACAGCACAGCTGAGCATATTAAGAAGAATTCAGTGGAAAAAATGTTTTGTTTCAAATTTGGTATTAGGCATAATAATTTTGGCTAGGGCCAAACATATCGATAGCCACCCAAATATGGAATGTTTTAACAAATTTTTAGTTGAAAAAAACTCAAAGCTGCAGCCAAATATGCTGCAAGCTATGTTATCGATAATTATTTAAAATCTTAGTTTTATCAAATTGTTTATTAGAAAAACAGCCAAAAAGTTCTTTTTAAATTATATGCAGATTAGTTGTGTTAGTATATATAAGAAGTTATATGATAATTTAAAAAACTATGATTTTTATGAAATTTTTAATTTGAAAACAAGTTCAGCTACATTCAGAAAGATCTATGTCTGTTATCGATAATTGTTAAGGTGAAAAGTTTACATTTTTAAATTTGTTAAACTGTGCTCAATTGAATCGACAGCCATATAGCTATAGTTTTAGTTATTAAAACTATAATATGACAGCTAGTTAAGCAAAGTAACCATACAACACATATGCCAGTGGCTACGCTCGAAAATATCTAAATATCTATCGATAAGTCTTAAAGAGTGAATAGTTAAGCTGTGTCCAGATATAAAGATATCTATGTGATAATTAAAAACCTAAATTTTGTATAAAATGTTTATTTAAAAACTAGTTAAGCTTTGTTCAAAAATATCTACGTCTATGTTATCGATAACTTTTAAAGAGTGAATAGCTTACATTTTCAAATTAGTTCAGCTGTGCACAAATGAATCGATAGCTATGTGATAGTATGGTTAGTTGCTACGTTCTAATATATTAACGCCTATGTTATCGATAAGTCTAAAAGAGTGAATAGTTTCATTTTCAAATTTGTTAAACTGTAACCAAATCTAATCTAATCGATAGCTATGTGATAGTATGGTTAGTTGCTACGTTTTAAAATATCTACGCCTATGTTATCGATAGCTCTTACATTTCCAAGCAGTGCTCAAATGTAACGCTAGCTATGTTAACAATAACAAATAATCGAAATTAAGATTCGAAGCAATTTTCTATTAAAATTAAATTATCGATATGTATTGCTAGCAATTTTATTGTTAACCATTCAAAATGTAAGTTTTTAATTTGAAATTAAGTTACTTTAATCATTTTAATGATTATTAGTGCGATTATCAAGGGTAGCCAAGGCTGTGCTATAGACTGTAATGCCCATAGTCGCACACACCAAACATTCATTTCAAATACACTTTCTGGATGATTTGCGGTAATTGCATGCAATGGCATTCGGGTTGCTTGTTGTTTGTTATCCGGCTAGCTGCATAGATCCTCGGCCAGAACGCACCGGATGAGTCACGAACATGTTTTCTTATTTATTCATTTGTTTGCTGTTGTTTTTGTGTTTTGTTTTCTTGGATTTTTTTTTTTTTTTGTTTTCTGCGTCGCAGTATTTATAATCGAATAACAAACTAGAATCGCACTAAAGTGCTCAAAAGAAGACGAGCGAACGCGAATATGCGAATGTGAACCGAGCGGCGCGACATGATTTCAAATGACAAATCGCTGGCAAAAACATTTCGTCTGGCTGCATAGTCTAGCGACGCGACGGGGCCAAAAGTGAAGAGTTCAAACTGAACGTGTAATGGTGGGGGGCGGGTTCATGGGGCTGGGCCGAATGCGGTGCGGGTGGGGTGGGCTGATGCGAATGCTGTTGCATATGGGCAACGCTTGGCGCTTGTTGTTGTTTATGTTGTTGTTTATGGCAGCCACTTTAGATGTGTGTTTGGATGGACAAACGAATGGATGGATGGATGCGCGAGCATACCATATACATATACAATAACATATTTTGTACAATTGTTGCGACACACACACACACGCACACCAGCACAGAAAGATATAGATATATTGCAGCAGTGGGACGTGCCAAAAATCAGGCAAACATACCGCAAAGCAAGCTACCGACAGAGAGAGAGAGAGAGAGAGAGATTGAGAGATTGTGGTAGGGGACTGAGAGAGCCGAGGGCAACCTGGCTGTAAATGAGTTGGCATCATTAATCGTATATCGTTGACGCTTTACCCATCTGCCTCTGCCTATATCTGCTTTTATATACATAGATATGTATATGTATATGTATATGTACATATTTAATATTGCTGTTTCATTTAAAAAGGCATCGCTTAGTCGCATTGAACATTGAACATTTTGTGAAACAGTCGCAAAATCTTTTATGAATATTTCAATATTTCCAACCATTTTCATTGCCAGCCAATTGGCTTTAAAGCTGAAATAGCTATGAAAAACATATGTACATACATACATTCATATATA